CCCAAGATTTGTGCTTTTAAACTACTTACTGTAATACAGCTTTATATATGGCCCTTAAAAAGTCATTTTACTTGCCCTTTATATTTAATGTTCAATGTGCTATAAGTTGACTGTTGCTGTTTATCTTTATAGCATCAAATAGTAAATATAGATCTTATGCTGGAAATGTCAACCTCTCTGGGAGCCGTAACCCCCATCATTGAAAGAGAAAACGGAGGACACCACTACGTTAGTATGACTTTACCCGTTGATGTAGTTCTATCTGTTGCTCCAGAAGAAACATGGGGAAAGTAAGTATTTTGTACTACTACTGACACATTTAAATAAGCACTCCTCCCCAGAGTAATCAGAGCCCGTTTTTAAATATCATATAGACATATCCAGGATTGTTGTTATTTTTACTATGATTTATTCCTTGTTTGTTATTAAGCTGAGTCATCTAGTAATTAAATGTTTATTTAGAGGAAGTAGGGTACTATGCAAAAACCTAAGAGGTTTTCCCTTTACCTACACATTGGAAATACACAGCCTACTTAATTTTGCATAAATTTACACTTCGTTTAATAATCCTGGTCCAATTGGGTTTTTTACTGTAGTTAGGACATATTAACTCTCCATTCTCATTTATCATAGCCACTATAACTTTTGTTAATGCACTTGAATATTTCCCTCCACAGAGTTCGTAAACTTCTAGTTGATGCAATTCATAATCAGCTAACTGATACGGAGAAGTGCATTTTGAAATATATGAAAGGAACATCTATTGTGGTCCCTGAACCATTGCACTTTTTATTGCCAGGGGAAAAAAATCTTGTAACAATTTCATATCCATCAGGAATTCCAGATGGTCAGCTGCAGGCCTATAGAAAGGTAATACCAAGGAGTGCCTGGGTGGCTCAGTCGGTTAAGCATCTGCCTTCTGCTTGGGTCATGATTCCAGTCCTGGGGTTGGGCTCTCCCTCTGCCACTCCCCCTGCTTGTGCTTTCTCTCTCTCTGTCAAATGATAAAATCTTAAAAAAAAAAAAGGGAAAGAAAGAAAAGTAAAGCTAATACACTTATTCTTAGAAAAACTATGACCATCATTCATTTTATATTTACTTAAACATTTCTAATAAATGGAACTTATTTTATGATTTAATATGAAAGTAGAATCAGACTACTATTTTTACATGTTATTTAATTTCTATTGACATATAACTTTTTAAAAAGTATGTTAATGAAAATATATGCTAAACCATATGTAACATTTTGATTTCAGACACTCATTGTGGTTCATATGTTCTGTGAAATTTTTCCATAATGAAATACAGAAATGAAAAGATGCTTACATGCCTTGAGCTGCTGCTGAGTGTTTATAAATAAATTCCTTTTCCCTTCCGTTACTTTCAGATTTGTGAAAGAGACAAGATTACAGTTAGGGAGGGAAAGTTAGGATTTATGCTAATTCTAATTAGGATTTATGGTAATACTTTACCCCCCACCTCCCAGGGTTATTTGGGTTTTATTAGAGGCGTGTTGAAGAAAGCATGATCAGCATTCAAAGAACTGAGATTTATTAATGAAATGACTGGTTTTGGAGTGCATAATTTTGATGTGTGGTCTTGCCTGGCACCCATCAAATTATACCAGGGGAGCATCTTCCGCACCCGTCCCTGGGAGGAGGGCGAGTCCTGTAACGCTCTGCTCCGTCTGTAAGTGCTGGTGGACCTGACCTGCAGAGGTGCCAGATGATCCCATTCCGGCTGCGAGAGTACTTAGGAGACACGAAAACGACAATGTCAGACTTTACAGAGGAAGGGCCACGTTTTTATACAGTTGGGAAAATTTTGCATTTTAAACATGTATGTGTATTTTAATTTTGATGCCACATTGGTTGGTTCCCTACCACCAATGTCTCCTCCAGAATTTACTCACCACCCCTTGTATTTGTTAAGTACTTTAAGCGTGACTTTTCAGAATGCTGTCATGTAAATCTGTCATTGTTAATTACAATTTACTCATTTTACAAGGCTGTTTCAAAACCAGTCTTTAGCCTGGATGTATTTTAACAGACTGTTATGATAAATAATTAATTTGAAATTATGTGACTTCTCTCACTCTGACAAATTACAGTTGACCCTTGAATAACACAGGTTTGAACTGCAGGAGTCCACTCGTACACAGATTATTTTCAGTAAATACAGTATAGCACTGTAAATGTATTTTCCCTTCTTTACGATTTTCTTAATAACATTTTCTTTTCTGTAGCTTACTATATTGTAAGAATACAGTATATAGTACATACACAAAATATGTATAAGTCATTAACGTATGTTCTCGGAAGCCTTCCAGTCAACAGTAGGCTATTCAGTTTTTGAGGAGTCAAATCTACATGTGGATTTTCGACAGTGTGAGGGCTCAGTGTCTCTAATCCCCACATTGTTCAAGGCTCAACTGCATTTTCATTTTTTCTGTGTTCCCTTCTAGTTTCGACCCATATCCGTGGAAAAACATACATAACTCTCATTTGGTTGTAGTTTAAATCTCACTCTCTTCGACCTTAGTGAATTATATTAAAAGTGTGTTTGATAACTTTTATAGCCAATATATAGTTAATTTTGTTTTCTGTCTTTAGTTTGAATTTGTTTACTGATGAGTGAGGAGTCTGACTTATTTAACTTTTTTCTCTTCTATTGATTCTGATTTCATTTAGGAATTACATGACCTCTTCAATCTGCCTCATGACAGACCGTATTTCAGAAGGTCTAATGCTTATCACTTTCCAGGTGAACCATACAAGGATGGTTACATTAGAAATCCGCATACTTACCTCAATCCACCTAACATAGAGACTGGTATGGTGAGTTTAATAATTATTTATGGAGTCAACTGATAATCCATGTCAGTGGTGATTTTTTGTGTGTATCCAGTGGAAGTTTTAAGGATTGATTCAGAATGTATGTCATCTCTAAAACAAAATTTACCACCTGTTTCTTATAATAATTGTTGCTTAAAATAGCAGTATTCACAGTAGTCTAAAAAGGTCATAAATAGTATGTACCACAGTTTTCCTATGGAAATTCCATTCCCTAATTTATTTAAAGGCTGATCCCCATTTATTTTCATTTTGAACCTGAGAAATCACACTAATTAATGAGCATGATTCATTATTACTTTTTATTCTTTGCTGGATTTCATTTGCTAACATTTTAAGATTTTTGCGTATGTGTTCATGAATAAGATTGGCTTCTGAATTTCTTTCCTCACATTGTTCTTATTTCATTTTTGTGTCAATAATATCCTGGCTCAGGGCGCCTGGGTGGCTCAGTTGGTTGGGCGACTGCCTTCGGCTCAGGTCATGATCCTGGAGTCCCTGGATCAAGTCCCGCATCGGGCTCCCTGCTCGGCAGGGAGTCTGCTTCTCCCTCTGACCCTCCTCCCTCTCATGCTTTCTGTCTCTCATTCTCTCTGTCTCAAA